GTGTAAAATAGTTTTTATTAAAATAAAATGAGGAAGGAAATTCATTTAAATGAATACACAATGAATCAATTAATTTCATACATTTATAAGTGCAATAGAAGATGAAATAACACTGAATACAAATTCAAATGACTACCATGAAATGAATGAATGTAATATTAATAATGATTAATTTAAATTAATAATGTAATAATTAGGATATTAATAATGCTTAATTTAAAGCAAATTCCCTAATAAATTTGATTATTCATTGTGTTTAGACTTATTCACACTGCCTCTTAAAATGTGAAACATAATCTCATTACCATACATTTTGCCGGAATTCACAATCTTAATTAAAACCACCATTTAAATTTATAAAAAAAACTATAAACAAGCACAATAAGAAACATTATAATTCATATAACATTTAGAAATCATTAAGTCATATAAAAACATTATAACTCATACAATTTATTAAGTCATTTGGAAAGCATTATAATTCATATAACTTATAAAATTCATTAAGTCATATGAAAAACATTATAACTCATAAAATTTATTAAGTCATTTGGAAAGCATTATAATTCATATAACTTATAAAATTCATTAAGTCATATGAAAAACATTATAACTCATAAAATTCATTAGGTATATTTTAAAACCATTATAATTCGTATAACATATAGAAGTTATTAAATCATATAAAAACATTATAACTCATGAAATTCATTAAGTCATTTGAAAAACATTATAATTCGTATAACATATAGAAGTCATTAAATCATATTAAAACGTTTTAATATCTGTCTGATTTGTGTGAATATACAGCAAGTTCCATCACTATTTCCAACCAATGAAGTGTAAATATAAACGAAGTAAAAGTGAATAAATTTTTATAATTAATTGTAAACTAGAACTTATTGTTTAATGATATAGGTTGGTAATAATTATCTAATTAACTTATTAATCGGATAAAAAGATCGACTTATTCCCACCTCATTAGAGACAAAATAGGTGCTTAATTAGCTCGAATAGTTAGCTCCATACCATTTTAAGTAGCTAGTTATCTCTTAACTAATAATCTGTGCCACTAATTACCTAATTCAGTCATTCTACTAAAACCTGTGCTAGCTAAACATATAGTATTGGTATATCTTCCATTATATACCCTTTACCCTGGTAACTAGTCGTCTGTACCGGTAACTAGTCGTCTGTACTGGTAACAACTCGTCTATACCATGCAGTAACTAGTCGTCTGTACCGGTAACTAGTCGTCTGTACCGGTAACTAGTCGTCTGTCCCGGTAACTAGTCGTCTGTACTGGTAACTAGTCGTCTGTACCGGTAACTAGTCGTCTGTACTGGTAACTAGTCGTCTGTACCGGTAACTAGTCGGAACTATTGCTGCAAATTTGGCATAAGGATATCGGTTTGAGCAGTGGTAGCTTTAAGTAACAAGTAGTTACTAAAGAGCAGTTTTAGTGGTAGGTACCTGTAGTTACTAAAGCAACTATCAGTAACTATCAGTAACTATTAGTAACTATTAACTATTACAGACACCCATGCAAAAGACATATGCTGGCCGGTGACATTCAAATTATTATTCAGAAATCTATGGTAAGTCTGTATATTATTATACAGACATGTAGTGTATGTCTGTATGTTATTAAACAGACATGTAGAAGAAGTCTGTATGTTATTAAACAGACATGTAGTGTAAGTCTGTATGTTATTATACAGACATGTAGTGTAAGTCTGTATATTATTATACAGACATGTAGTGTATGTCTGTATGTTATTATACAGACATGTAGTGCATGTCTGTATGTTATTATACAGACATGTAGTGTAAGTCTGTATATCATTATATTACGAACATATATACCATACTAGTCAATTATTCTTAATTTACCGATGTTTTTAAGCTGTATTGTTTTCGCAAAAAAAAACTTCCCAATTATGAAAATTTTCTGAATTAATTAAATATGTTCTGGATGATTATTCATATGTGTGAATGGATTCATGTGAATTCATATATAGGTAAATTTATAAAACAGTTATAATTATTTCAATACTAAATACAGAATTTTTTCATGAAACAGCAAAAAAAATTCGTTTGAGATATAATTCATATTTTCAAGATGAGCATTATTAAGATTATTAAGATAAGATAAGATAAGATAATTATTATCGCATTATTAAGATAAGATGATAACTTAATATATTAAACTATTGAATTATCAACTTTGCAATTATTTTTATTAAATAACATTTTGAATCTTGAAACAAATAACGGAAGTATTTAAATAGGTTAATAATGTAGAAATAGATTATATTATATATAAACTAATTCGCTGCTCCAATGTTAATTAAAGTTACTCATCTTATTAATTTAAATCATTAATATTCAACTAATTAACTTTGGACTAGGAATAATTAATCCTTGATAATTATTCAATATGTAATTATTATAATCTATACAAACTAAACAAATTTATCGTGAATAGTTAACACTTAAAAAGTTATGATTTATATTTCAATTAATTATAATAGACTTCAATTAAGATAAAAGCCGTGAAACTAATAATTGAACTAAAATGCTAAACATTATTATAAAATTTAAATGAGTTTATTGTAGTTCTTTCAAATATTTTCCTATTTACTAATTGATAAATAACATATATTGATACGTCCAGTCATTTATCAATTAATAAATAGGAAAATATTTAATAATTGATAATTGATACGTCCAGTCATTTATCAATTAATAAATATTTTCCTATTTATTAATTGATAAATGACTGGACGTATTAATATAAGTTATTCAATATCGATCAAGTTTTACTTTATATAAACTTCGGTCAATTATTTTGTGCAAATAATGAGTCGATATGACGCACTCATTTTTACGCGTGTTATAATTGCGAAATGAGAGCTTTTTTATATATAAAAAAATTATAATCAATTAATAGACACATTGATCGTAATTCATGTCATTTTATAGATATATTTATCTATACATTATTATTTTCCAATAATATATAATATATATATATAAGATTCAATCGAACACCTATTATGTAATATCAATCATTGTGGTTTCTAGATAAAAAAACTCGTTTCAATAAATGAATATTTAAATGTTATTTAAAAAAGGCAATCATTTCATGGACAACTTCATTAAAAATCTAGTATATGTGAACGTAATTTTTATCAATACATTAAATAAAACCTTAATTATTGTCAAAGAAATCAGAGAGGTTTAGATTATTCAAATGGCCTTAGTCCTAACCTGATGTTTAACAAAAGATCATTAGTATATTTTTACATATTCATTACATATTTTTAAAAATAAATACAAGAGTTGTCTTGTGTGGTTTAATTACCTATTTTTTTTAAGTTTTATATGAATACATATTAATAATTCAGCCGCTAATAATTGTTTAATCAATTTTTCTGAAATAAACATAATTAAAAATATAAATGCACAAGATGACAATAAGTAACATTTTAATTTATGATATTTTACCAAATTTTTAAAAAGTTAAACGTCTAACAGCGAGAAATGGGCACGTCTATATTAACATTAATTATTAACCTAATTAACCTAATTTTTATTACTTCCATTTTAATAAACCTTTCCTTAACCGTTTTTAGTTCTTTATGCCAACGATATTTCAATTAAAGACTTAATAACCTTTAACTTTTGAAACTTTTTAACCTTTTAACCTTTCATTTCGTATTTAATACACAACTGAATTATTTAAGCGAAATCACACAAATTCACACAGTATTCGAAATTTTTAATACTATTAAAATACTTAATTTATATTAAATTTTATATAGGAAAATTTTATGTTTTCGACAATTTACAATAAAGCGAATTTTAAATTTAAACTTGAGTAAAAAAATATTCTCTCCTCGGGGAAAAAATATTTGTTGCAGATAACGAATTTCAAAACTGAATTTTTTTTAATTGTGATGATTGTGCACGAATTACAAAATTTTGATTACTCAGTTGCCAAATTATAAAAAAATTGAAAGAGAAATGACAAAAAATACTAATTGACAGATTAGAAAAAATTATCATTCACTTACTTGTATTGTGACTAAAAATTGAATTATAAAACATAAGGTAATTAAGAAAATAATTTTTTATAAGAAAACATCTGTACTTATTTGTTTTGAATCAAATATAATAAATAGAATAAAATTATATAATATAATATAAATATATTATAATAATTGAAAAGAATCACTTGCTTTTCTATTAATTATTTAAATGAATTTTCTTTATTTTCTTTAATTTAAACATTTTCATTAATTAATTTCAGTACAACGACGGGAAAGGTGACATCACACTCTTACCGATAAACATTCATAATTATTAATTAACATCACACTCTTAATCATGATCTATTATTATAACTAATCCTAAGTTGATTAGTTGACCTCGGTAACTACGTCTTCATATGATTAGTTAATTAGATAATTAGAGATAACAGGCAATTAAAATTGACATTGTACTTGGCACGCACAGAGCTCTGATATGATATATAATAGTTCAATATACTTAAAAATATTATAGAATTTTCAATGAGCGAAAAGTTTTATTCTTATAGGGAATAACTGTACATGCAGTGAGAGAAATGAGAGAGTGTTTGTCACAATAACGATGCACTGTTAGCCGTTACTGAGTCAACCTGACTCAGTTTGGCCCGTATCAGTGCTACGTCCGATCTTTACTTACACGGTGGGTAAGAAAGCGTGTCAACATATGGACAAATAACCCATACAATTTTCTGACTGCATGAATCTTTTGAATTCTATCTTATAAGAAAAACTCACAAATGTGAGATTTTAATCTTATAAGATTAAATAATTTATAAATCTTTTAAGAAAAGCTCACAAATATCATCACTACCGCATTTTCAAAGTCCATTGAAAATTTATATTCAAGTGCGAAATTGCTATTTTCAATTTTTCTATTGCACAATTCAATTAAGAAATCGCTATATTTTCTCATTACAATAATAATATCTCAGATGCAAAACTGTTCTATTTTAGATAAATTCGGTATGAATAAGGCATGTTTACAAGATTATCACTTGCAATATGGCACTTAAAACCTGCACTTAGACCATTAATTAATTAATCATTAATTAGACTCGCTTCCTTGTTCTCTGTAAAATAAACATTTTCGATAAACTACTCGGCATTTGAGAACAGGAGTCGCTAATGGAAAATTAGTCATTTTTTCGTGAAAATTTTTTTACATTTATATTTGTCTTCACAAAAATTGAGCTGCAACCCACCGGGCATATTATGTTGAATTAATGTTGAATTAACGATGCTTTGTAGACTTCAACTCGTAATCAAGGTTTTTTCAACGTCATTTATATTGAAGTAGAGTCTTTCGCGGAGTTATCATAAAGAAAGCTTTTTTTCACCAATTATCCCTAACTTAGCCTTAATTAAATACTACCGATAAACGACTATTTGGTTGGGGGAGGGTAGGACACAATTAGGCTTTACGAGGGGGTGGAACACATTAAACCTTTAATGAGCCCAATTAACGAGTAACAACAATATTGTCGCTATTGTACAACATCTTTGTGGTGCAACTGATAAGAAATATCTAAACTTTGAAAGGCCTGGCCGGGAGGTGATAAGGCCAAGGTAAAGTCCCACGGGGGTACCCGGATGATACCATCCCTCCAAGGGATGGTTCGAAATGGTCCCTTACGGAGGTAGGAGGAGTAGGTAGCTCCCGATGGTTCCTGGATTCCCTAACCATCCGAGACGAGGTATGATTGGCGGAATGTTGCAGTTGGTGAGGAATGTGAGTAGGGATAGACTGGACAGAGGTTGAAAAAACAGAAATAGGGGGTAAGTTGTAGGGTAGTTGGGACGGAACGTGGGCATGAACACTGGTTGAAGTGTGAGTGGTCATCGCAGAAGAGTGGGTGGAATGGAGTGGCAAAGTTGCCGACGATGAATGGCTGCCAAGATTACCATTCATTTGGGACTGATGACCTGGAGAATAATATTCCCTCATGGTACGAGTCTTGCACAACTGTGACATGGTATCGTGAGTTGGTATCTCTGGTACGGAAGGAAGATGGTGTCCACGAAAAACGTCACCTGGGTTCTCCCGGGCCGCGTCCTGAATGGACTTAGCAATGGACAAGCGACTCATGTTTCGGTTATTCTTCATTTGAGTCCTGGTCATCTCATTGTAGTTATTTGATTTATCTTCATGGTTATCTTTTATTTGGTTGCCATTTACGCTGCTAGGGTATGTGTCATAAGACCCCTTGGATGTGGCGGGCAACGAAGAAACGTGTCCATGTTTTATTCCGTCTTTGAACATGGGTTTTATTTCTTCAGATGAAGCGTCACTCGGACATGTCAAAGATGAGTAACTATCTTTAGGGATCGCATGTTCAGCAAAAGATGGTCGGAGTACAGGAGTCGCTGCAGGATTCATTGTGATGGATGTAGCCAGGCAGCTCGGTGTAAAATTCACGTAAATCGAAATCGGGTGCAGGACCGGAGTTATTTCCGGTTTAATCGACATTGCCGATGCTACCACAGACGCATCCACCGACATCGGGACATAAAAACTTCCTGATTGGTTAAAGGCGAAAATGGGAACAGGAGTTTGTATCGCATCGTCTACCAAATTTAAAGTCGGCATCCGTGATGTCGAAACATTTCCACCTGATGAAGGACGAGCGATCTCTTTCACTTTAAACTTTTCAGAGGCAACAGCTCGATCTCGGTTTTCTTTTTGAGGGGAATTAGTTTCCCTATCCCCATTAGGGCAAAGGGTTCCCTTAGGGATAGGCCTTCCAAAACTTTCGTACTGATCGTAATTGCTGGAGGAAGATCCAGAATCACGCCGCTGTTTCTTGGAAGGATGCAACACAGATGAATGTTCTAGGTCCACACTAAAACGGTGCTTCATGTTGCTTTTGAACTTGTAGAGACGACTTGGGTTATCTTCTCCACCAGAAGATGAAGTATTCGATCCATTATCTGACGAAAAATACTCATTACGAACGGATTTACACACAGCCGCGTTCGTGTGATGGAGCATCGTTCGTAAAGGTACTTCGGAAGCGGGTCGTTCCACCGCCAAATCGGTAGAACCTTCAGCGGAGACACCAGAAACTGGGACCGAAGATGAGGTCCGTTCTATTTTGTGGTCCTGATATGTTGTGCTGTCACCAGAACCACACGTTTGTTCTACTGTGGACCTCAGCCTTCCTCCCTGGATTCCGTCAAATTCATTGAACGTGTTCCCCAAATTCCCCATCTCCACGTGGGGTTGAGAACGGGGCGAGACGATGGGGCGAGAGCTGCGGTTGGTGAGGTTGTACGGGAGACAATCTGGGGAGATAATGGAAGTGTTAGGGTAATAAATAAATAAAATTAGGGTAATGAGAGTATAATAGGGTAAAGAAATAGATGGGCATAAAATACGAGTTCCAACCATTCATTTTTGCAAAACAAAGTGATAAATTAAGCATGAAAATTAGGTAATTCATTTTGATCTTCTTATTTACGTGCATGTTTTTGGATTATATATATATATCTATATTTTAGATTGATATTCACGTATTCATTCAATTTTTAATATAATGCAATTGGTTGAAGCTTTCATTAACTATTGTGACCTATTCAAGTGTTTTGAATAATTATATGAATTAATTGAATTCATATAATTCAATTAATATTGTTAATTGAATTAATTGATATTTAGATAATTAGCTAATCATACCTGTTGGTCCATTATCTTTATCTTCCTGTTTGATGTTTTCATATGAATTTTCAGATCCACTGTTGTCTGCACGGTAGCCACTGTTCCTGTTGTTTCCGTTGTATCCATAACTGCTGTTGTTGCTGCAGTTGTAGCTGTTATTGCTGCTGTTGTAGCTGCTGTTGCTGTTACTGCTGTTATAGCCGCTGTTGCTGTTACTGTTGTTGAAGCTGTTTGCAAAGCCATGTGATGTCCTAATGCCGTTGTTGGGACTATTACTGTTATTACTGTTATAAGCGCTGTGCCTGTTTGTAACAGAATAGCACCCGTTATCGCTGCTGTTATAGCCGCCGTTACCACTGCTACCGTAACTGTCGCTGTTATCGTTACCGTTATTACAGTATTCATCGTGTACGTTAGACTCCTGTTTAACAGATACATCTTCCACCGATGAATATGTTCCTGTTTTACGACTTGTAACAGTGGAAACAGAACTGCTGCTGCCTGTTGTTAGATAGCCGCTATCGCTCTGATAATTACTGTTGCTGCTGTTTCTGCTGTTGAAGCTGTTGCTGCTGATGCTGCTGATGCTGCTGATAGTGCTCATTTTTGATGATATTTTAAAGCTGCCATCGCTGTTATTGTTGTTGCTGTTGCTGTTGTTGCTTGTTCTACTGTTGCATCCATCGCTGCTGTTATGGTCAGATTTATCTTCGCTGCTTTTATTAACTCCAGGGGAGCCGTTATTGCTGCTGTTGCTGCTACTGTTACTGCTGTTACTGATGCTGCTGTTGCCGTTAATGTTGTTGTTGCTGCTGCTGTTGTCGTTGTTACTGATGTTGCTACTGCTGTTGTTGTTGTTGTTGCTATTGTTGTTGCTGTTGCTGTTATTGCTGTTGTTGCCCGAGCCGTTGCCATGGTAATCGTTGCCCGTAGCAACCTTACGGGGATGAAAGCCCCCGCCTACGGGGAAGAGAGGGGGGCGTTAAGGGGGCATTCATTATATTATAAGGAGTTTAATAATAGGATGGAAGCGGGGCTAGAAATTATCGATTCATATAAACAACCCCACCGAAGTGGGGATTAAGAAGGGGGAATGTGAGGGGAATGTGAAGGATATGTGAGAGGAATGTGAGGGTGATGTGAAGGGAATGTGAGGGGAATATGAAAGGAATGTAAGGGGAATGTGAGGGGAATGTGAAGGAAATGTGAAAGGAACGTGTGGGGAATGTGAGGGGAATGTGAAGGAAATGTGAGATGAATGTGAGGGAGATGTGAGGAGAATGTGAGGGGAATGTGAAAGAAATGTGAGAGGGAATGTGAGGGGAATGTGAATGTAATGTGAAGGGAGTGTGAGAGGAATGTGAGGGAAATGTGAAGGAAATGCGAGGGGAACGGGAGAGAAATTTTAGGTGAATGCGAGAGGAATGTGAAGTGAATTTGAAGTGAATGTGAGGGGAATTTGAGGAAAACTTAAGTAATTGGAGAAAGAGGAGGATGGGAAGTTGATAGATTATGAATAATAGAAAGCTAGAGGGCTCATTTATAATTAATTTTAAAGTTAATATATTTTTTGTATGAAATAACGTGTTCAGTAGCTATGATTCATTCCATAAGTTTACTCATATAACTCACAAGCCTCATTACTCACGAGCTAAGGTCTTCTTGCAGTGTTTACTCATATAACTCATAAGTCTGACGCATAAAGAGTCTCCGGAAAAAAGGCCTTCGACCTCCACCAGAAATTGCAGGCTTTTGGCCATGGCCTCCTGGTAGCCGGCCGTCCATTGGTCCATCTGGAGGCCACCTGCTCCACATGGTGCCATGGGAGCTGAGGACATATGGATACAGTGAGGACATATGGATACAGTGAGGACATATGGNAAACCTGTCTCTTATACACATCTAGATGTGTATAAGAGACAGCTCCCCCCACTCACCCCACTCACCCCCCACTCACCCTACTCACCACACTCACCCATATCCCGAAAGTCATGCTGCTGCTGTAAATGCTTCATGTACTTAATGGCCATCTCAATGATCTCGGTTTTCTCGACGCGGCCGCGGCCTTTCTTGAGGTAGTGAGGCGGGATGAGGCGGTTGAGGTCAGCGAGGCAGCTGTTCATACGATCCCGCCGCCTCTTCTCGATCACACGGTGCGAAAGTGGGTCCTGGCGGAGACAAAAGGGTTCAATAGTGGGTCAAAAATATTAGGGAGGTAATAGAGAGTGAAAATACTGCGTTAAAAAATGTGGGGAGAAAATAGAGAGTCGAAAGTAGTGGGGAATGTGAGGGAAATGCGAGGGGATTCATTATTATTATTAATAGTAGGTTAAAAATAGTGGGGCGAAAATAGTGGGTCAAAACTAGTTGGTTCAAAATAGTGGGTCAAAAATAGGGGGAAAATATTAGTGGTCAAAAATAGTGGGTTAAAAATAGTAGGTCGAAAATAGTGAGTCAAAAATAGTAGGTCGAAAAAGTGGGCCAAAAATAGCGGGTTGAAAATAGTGGGTCAAATATAGTGGGTCAAAAATAGGGGTTGGGAGTGGTAAATTAACGCTTGGGGCGGCGAGTCCTGGGTAACAAAAAAGGGGTTAAATAGTGGGTTAAAATGGGGTTGGGAGTTGTGACTAAAAAGTCACGACTGGGACCGCAGTGGTGGGGAAAATGGGGAGAAAGAGAGGGGGTTAAAAAGGGGTTATTCTGACATCGGTAAAGAGCCTGAGGACCAAGGGTTAAGAGAGCCCTTGAGACCTAAATGAATCCTTAGGAATCCTAAGACTGGAAGGAACCCCTGAGACCCTTAATAATAAGAGCGTAAAGAACAGCTAAGACCCTTAATAATAAGATCCTTAGGAACTCCTAAGGCCTTTAATAATAAGAACCTTAGGAACCCCTAAGACCCTTAATAATAAGAGCCTTAGGAACATCTAAGACCCTTAAAAATAAGACCCTTGGGAACCCCTAAGATCATACACTTAATAGAACCCACTAAACCTAAAGGCCTCTTCATGATAGAGAAAAAGGTGGGGTATTAGGAAAAAAGATATTATTAGAAAAAACGAAAAAGGCATTAGAAAGAAAGAAAAATTTATTAAACGTGAATTCATGGTTAAAGAATAAAAATGACGACTCCAGGAATGATGAGGGATTGAACGGGGAATAATTTTTGCTATTTTTCTGGGAGAATAAAAGGGACATTATTTTTTGGGTAAAACTTAGGGATGAAATATTCCATCCTCTCGTGTAATTCATTTAGAAAATTCGGCTCCGTTGAAAATCATAATAATAATAAGTTAATAATGATAATAATAATAATTATAATAATAATAATATTAATAATAATAATATTAATAAAAACAATAATAATAATAGCAGTTAATAATAATAATGAAGATATCTGCGATCGGGCACCCCTCGTGTTATCTTCCTGTTATCTTCCGTTAAAAATCTTATGCCCTCATAGCATAAGATTGAAATTGTTAGTTATTTCGAAAAAAATTGAACATTTTTCTATAATTTTTTTAATTTTTTGAAAATTTTTTTAACATTTTTCAAATTTTCAGCAGATGTTGCGCAGTTCGTGAAGAACAAATTTTTTTCAACAGAATGTCGAGTAGCATGCGAAAACCGCTTTTTTCCAACAGATGACTCAGAGTTCAGGTGCAACGCGCTGTGTTCAACAGTTGATTGTGGAACCGCTGCAGCGCGGCTAAAAATAGACACTGGAACTAATTTTTTCATCAAAAAATCTCATTTCTTCTATAAATTCAAATAATACCATATGCCGGCTTTTATCATTCAATATTTGCCTTTGTACAATTATACCTAGAGTTTTACACTTCATGAACATTTACCAAGAATTATAATTTGTGGTTGGGAGAGCGGAAAATAGTGACGTCCTTCCGCTACGACAGTTCCGCGGTGACTGAAGTGATACACTTGATTCATCGATATTAAAATGAGGGTGTAAAGAGAGGGTGTAAAGAGAGGAACTCGGAGCAGCGAGAGTAAGATAAAAATAGAGTGAGAGAAGGTTAAAACAAATGTCAGGGTTAAAATACAGTAAAAATTACTGCAATAATTTAAGTCAAATAAAATGTGTACATAAATAATTCAAATATTGCTCAATTTACGAAATGTCATTAAAAATGAATAATATTTCTCACACGCGAAAATTATCTCATACTGATACTAAGTGATGTTTGATGAATACATGAGTATGTTAATATTACTACAGAATTTTTTATGCATTATATATCGACAGCTTTGCATTCCAATAGAAAATCTGTGACTTATTTCAGTTATTAGAGAACAGCCAAAATAATGCTAATTTTTAATAAATAAATAAAATGACGACGCATGAAATATTCTTAATCACCCTATTTATAATTTATATTCATACGAATAAAGCTAAAATTACATAATTTTGACACACGTGTAACAAAACTAAATGGTTTCCGCATAAAATAAGTTTATATTTCGTTTTCTCTCAACAAGTTCTCGCAGAAAACGATCTCATTAGTAAATTAAATGCTGGCTGCGATATCCGTAGACTTGTGAGCTTTGCTGTATATAATATTAATAAATAATATGAATAAATACCTCATATATAACATTATAAACAATACCTGGAATTCAAGTCAATTTCATTTTACTTTATATTTATTAATATAATCAATCAGGCTTCTTCTTTGGAGCTTCTAAGTGTAATCATATTGTACATTATAGAATTTTTTATGCATTATATGTCGACAGCTTTGCATTCCAATAGAAAATTAGTAAAATATGTTCAGTCTTAAAATATTTCAGTCCACTCTGTTCAGTCTTAAAATATTAAAACAAAATATATTAAATATAACAAACATATGTTCAGTCTTAAAATGCCTAGCAAATTACGGACCAGGCAATAAGTCCAGCAGCTATCAATTAAAATGAGGGTGTAAAGAGAGGGTGTAAAGAGAGGAACTTGGAGCAGCGAGAGAAAGATAAAAATAGAGTGAGAGAAGGTTAAAACAAATGTCAGGGTTAAAATACGTTAAAAATTAAATAATGAAATAAAGTCAAATAAAATGTGTACACAAATAATTCAAATATTGCTCAATTTACGAAATGTCATTAAAAATGACTAATATTCCGTGCAAGCATAAATTATCTCTCACTGATACTAGGTGACGTTAATGAATACAGGATCATGTTAATATTAGTACAGAATTCTTGATGCATTATAAATCCGCAGCTTTATTCCATTAGAAAATGTGTGACTGTTTTCAGTTATTAAAAAACAGCCTAAAATACTGCTTATTTTTATATACAGTATAAATGGTGTTTCATGAAATATTTAATCACTCTATTTACAATCTACAGTCATACGAATAAAACTAAAATTACATAATTTAGACACAAGTAAAACAAAACATGATAGTTTCCGCATGAAATGAGTTTTTATTTCGTTTTCTTTCATCAAATTTCTCATAGAAAACGCTCTCATTAGTAAATTAAATACTGGCTTCGGTATCCGTAGACTTGTAGACGTTCCTTTATATAATATAATATTGATAAATAATAATATACATGAATACCTGATATATTTCCTTGATAAATACCCACTGAAACTCAATTAAATTTTATATTACTTCAAATTAAAAATATCATTAATCAGGAGTTTTTACGCTAATACATATTATAATTAATGCTTCTTAATGATACAGACTATCCATATAACATTCTATTGTTATTAGATTATCAAAAAATTATATTCGTCGACTTAACTACTTCTTAAATACCAAATTAATCCAAAGTACTCAATGTTATTGTGTATGATTCATGCATCTCATTCATATTGCACTTGAGTATGACTATCCGCTGAATAATTTGAGAATTACTCTAGTATAAGCAGAATTACTTCTATATGAATTATTATTCCTTAATTTTTTTGTTTATGAAATGCAATTAAACTGTAAATTGAAATCTCTGAAGTGAAATTTTACATATGATTTTATTGCCATTTATTATTAATGCTATTGATAATTTTAATATTATATTATTATTATCATTATAATTATTTGTTTTATTGTTGTTGTTATTATTATTATTACTCTTATTATTTTTATTACTTTCGTTATCCAATTTGGAAACACAGCATATCAGCTATACAGCATCAGCAGCTATACAGCATCTATTCAATTCATGAAACTGCCCAGAACGCATTTCCTATACAGCTGTATTATACATGTAACACATTCAGTTTCACAACGTGATAGTGCATGTGAGCTGCCGCAGCTACAGCTGCAGCTACAGCTGCGGCTACACGTGATCAAGCCTCACGTGTACTGCAACGTGTCCGCGATAACAACAGCGATAACAACAGCGATAACAGCAGCTGTAAATGCAGCTTCCAGCCGCCTGACAAAAGAGCTGTAGCCTGAATGGCTGTCACATTTACGTCTGCTCAAAGCTTTAACGCTGTATAGAAGTCACCTTATTATAGAATTTTCCTTATATACTAATGGTAAACTAATTTAGTATCACCATAAACATTTATTTACATTTATATACATTTATATACACTTATATACACTTATATACATTTTTATTTATTTTATACCATTTATTCACGACTTCGAAGTCGTTAAAATTTGCTCAATAAATTGAAAATAAATTAATGTGCGCATCAACACACATTTGCATTTGTATGCATTTAATTGTTTTCACATATTTATTTGAAAATTTTGGAAAAATTTGTTTCACTGTAGATTTAGTTGATTTTTTACTTCAAAATTTCAATTTCCAGCCGTATATGTTTTATATATTTAATTTTCATATCATTTTGATGTTAACATTGCCTTAAAAGTTTATTGATTTATTATCTTTCTAAGTTATCTATTTATCAATCGAATATAAAATTAATTAATACTGAATTTATCAGTTTTAATTTATCTTTATTTAGAGCGTCGCTTTGGTTCGGTTTTCAACATATTATTGATTCTCTGTCTAATTTTGTTATTTCCCTTGCCTTTAAATTTTTATATATATAATTTATTTATCAATACACATTCCCTATTTTTCCCCGGCCATTTTTCCTATCGTAACAGTCTGACTAATTTTGATTAGCGTTCATATTTGACTATTTAACTTCATTTCGTTACCGAAAATAAGGTACATTTTCGGA